GCACACCCGAGTACCTGGCCCCAGAGGTGGTTGCACGCCAGCGATATGGTCGGCCAGTGGACTGGTGGGCCATCAGCGTTACTATGCACATACTACTCTGGAAACCCTCCGAGGGTTCTACGATGAGATGGAGGAGGAAGTCATGACAAGAACCTGTTCCGGAAGATTCTACACAGGAATTATGAGTTTGACTCTCCATATTGGGATATTTCTCTAGCAGCCAAAGATTTGGTGTCCAGTCTAATGGAGGTGGACCAGGACCTGAGGGCGACAGAGGCGGACACCATTAGCCATGAATGCATTTCAGGGAATGAGCATCGGATAAAAACATCAAGGATGGAATGTGTGCGCAGATTGAGAAGAACTTTGCGAAAGCCAAAATGGAAGAAAGCTATGTGGGTGACCACAATGATGATGAAGCACCTGAGGGCACCAGAACAGACCAAGACCTCATCTCCATCTATGGGCAGAGAGCGGATGCCAGGTCTGACTACCCCTGCAATGTCACCTGCCAGCACCACAGCTTTAGAAGAGCCATCCCCGCTCAGCCCCTCGATGTTTGACTTGAAGGGTTTCTTTCCTTGTAGAAAATGTACTATACACACACACACACACACACACACACACACACACACACACACGTGTGTTTTACTTTTATATGTTCATCCGAAAAGGTTACCACCAATCCTATCTCCATTTCTTTTTTTTTTTTTTTTTTTTACCACTACCCTAATGGTCTCAGAATTTTTGAGTGACATGAACCCTTAAGGTCTATGGGACTTTCCTCTAAGACATTACTGTAAGTATACATTAGATGAGAATGTATCGTTTATATATGTCAATATATTTTTAAAAATCAGTTTAAAATAATATGCATCTTATAATGGCTACATGTAATTAAAGAGGTCTTACACTTTATACATTTTTAAAACTAGGTATATATTTTGTTGGACACCAGTGTTAGCGGGATTTCTATACCCTATAGTACAGTACATACTATTCCCTTTCATATCACCTTTTATTGTACTTATTTCAGTGTATAAATATGGTTTTAAAAAAATGGTATGGCTTGCAGATCCTTGTCACAGGATTTCGCTGTCACTTCCTCTTTATATAGACAGCGGTATGGCCCCCTGGACTGTAGAAGGAGCCGGAGAGCTCTGAGTGTGTAGCCTGCCTTCTGTTGCACTGATCCCTCCCCAGTGACGTCACGTCTGTCCGCAATTGTGTTCCAAGCTGGCTCTGTGACCTCCAGTATCCGGTCAGCGTTTTAAGCACTTCTCTACATACCATCCATGGACTACAGCGGGACCCTAGAGACAGACAAGGACTTGTGTGTCTGATAACAAGCGATCCTTTTACTTCAGTGTGTTGAGTGTATATCACTTGCCTAATAAATTGAGTTTCAAAACTGCACTTAGAGGCACCTTCCCTTGTTCCCCTTCCTGAATGTGGACTTTGAATCTGGTTTTACAATGAGATCATGCTAGAGCTCCTGGACCATATTGAAAGGTTTTAGCATTTAACATTTTCCCATTACCCTTAAGGCGTAGGGTGTTGCGATGAGAACATGCTGTGCCCCATCTCATGTCAGTCTGTGCCTGGTGGGAGGGGTGCGAGCATGAGTTATTCACTATCCAGTCCTATTATATTATGACAGATACATCGATGATGTGCTTGTCATATGAACAGGAACTGTGAAGGAACTTCATTCATAAAAAATATGGCACATAGATTTAATATGACATTGATTTGGAAGGGGCAGTGCTGATAACCCCATTTTGGAAAGTGACATTTAGAAATATATTACGAGTCAAGTTCACACCCAGCCCCCGTTATATGGAGTATACAGTATAGTGCATATCAGAGAAAAAAAACGCAAGATTAAGAGGCAAATGAAATCTGAATTTCACATTCTGGAAAGAAAAAATATATATACAAGATCTTAAATCAAGAGAACCAGACAAGGTTTATTATTTTTGACAGAGGATCATTGGTAAACACATTACAGCTGCCCCAGGGCTGGTCTTCATTCAGGATTTCTCAAGGTCCTACCTTTCCTCAGGGCTTGTGCTGCTCCATGTGCTGGCATCCATGTTAGGTCTGCAAAGCATTGTGGGATCCTTTATGCTTTCAGCCCTCTGCGGCTCCTCACATTTAAGTCTGCTGTTTGTAGCTCTCCATTGCATTCGTCTCCTGCGTTGCAAAGCAGCAAGCTCCTGTTGAGTTAACTCATTGCTCTCCTGGATACCAACTCTGCTTTGGCAAAGACTCCTCCTGGCTTCTGACCCCGGCTCTGGTGACCATTCTTCCTGGCATCTGACCCCGGCTCGGGCTACGATTTCCGCCGGTTCTCGACTTTATTATCCTGGAAGATGACCTCGGCAGGAGGAGAACTTCTGTCCTACCAAGTCATCCGCGTTGCTGTCAACTTGCATAGACTCTTGCCTTGTTTCTGTGTTAATAAACCTACCTTTAATTGCACCTCCTTGTGTGTCTGGCTCCTCGCTCCCTGACAGGATTACTTGGTGTACACTCCTGAGGCCAGGGTTACCCACAAACATTTTCCTAAATTTATTTCTCCAATAGTTGTTTCTCTACACTAAAAGCAACTACAGAAGTAAAAAAAAAAAAAAAAAGTTAGACGTGTAAAACTATGTCAGGTCCCCGAACCCTACTTTATATTCCGTTTTATATATCAAGGATGAGCTCTAGCCGAATATAGACTTCTGTGACACCATTTGCACCACATTAGGCCTCCAGGCAAGAATGTACACGGGTGTTCATTTAATAGTTTATCATTGACAATGGAAAAACTCATCAGGAAGCTGACTCAAGCAGTGGGTAAGCCTTATGGCTCAGCCTGGCATTTACTAATCCACATGTTTTGTATATGAGGTTACGATTAATAGTTTTACTACAGTTGTGACCAAAATTATTCAACCCCCAATGCTGTAAAGGGGTTTTAGGGACTATAGTGTACATTTGGAATTGTATTCAGAATCAAATCCTACAAGGACGTTGTAACTACCCAAATGCAACTAAAATGACATCAATTGTTTATGTAATACAGTAGTAAATGGTTCTTATGTGGTTTCTTCATTGCCACAATTATTCAACCCCTTAAAGACTACCACTCTGAAGAACAGAGGTTCATACAGGTGCTTTCCATCAGGTATTGAAAACACCTGTGGATGTCACCGAGCAGCAATCAAGCATAATAAGCACCAATTAGGCAGCTTTAAAATGACTGTGATACTCAGCTCCTTCTAGACATTTACTGGTGTGGTTACAAACATGGTGAAGGCAAGAGAATGGTCCAGGAAGACAAGAGAAGAGGTGATTTCTCTTCACAGGAAGGGCAATGGCTATAAGAAGATTGCAAAGATGTTAAACATACCAAGAGACACCTTAGGAAGCATCATTCGCAAATTCAAGGCAAAGGGCACTGTTGAAACGCTACCTGGTCGTGGCAGAAAGAAGATGCTGACTTCGACTGCTGTGCGCTACCTGAAGCGTAGAGTGGAGAGAAGTCCCCGTGTGACTGCTGAGGAACTGAGAAAAGATTTGTCAGATGTGGGTACAGAAGTTTCAGCCCAGACAATAAGACGCACACTGCGTAATGAAGGCCTCCGTGCCAGAACTCCCAGGCGTACCCCCTTGCTGTCTCCAAAGAATAAGAAGAGTCGACTGCAGTATGCCAAAAGCCATGTGGACAAACCACAAAAGTTGTGGGATAGTGTTCTGTGGACTGATGAAACAAAATTAGAACTGTTTGGGCCCATGGATCAACGCTATGTTTGGAGGAGGAAGAACAAGGCCTATGATGAAAAGAACACCTTGCCTACTGTGAAGCATGGTGGAGGGTCAATCATGCTTTGGGGCTGTTTTGCTTCTGCAGGTACAGGGAAGCTTCAGCGTGTGCAAGGTACCATGAATTCTCTTCAGTACCAGGAGATATTGGATGGAAACGTGATGCAGTCCGTCACACACCTGAGGCTTGGGAGACGTTGGACCTTTCAACAGGACAATGATCCCAAGCATACCTCCAAGTCCACTAGAGCATGGTTGCAGAGGAAAGGCTGGAACATTTTGGAGTGGCCATCGCAGTCACCAGACTTAAATCCGATTGAGAACCTCTGGTGGGACTTAAAGAAAGCAGTTGCAGTGCGCAAGCCTAAGAATGTGACTGAACTGGAGGCCTTTGCCCATGAAGAATGGGCGAAGATACCCGTAGATCGCTGCAAGACACTTGTGTCAAGCTATGCTTCACGTTTAAAAGCTGTTATAACTGTAAAAGGATGCTGTACTAAGTACTAAGATTGAATGTCACTTGGGGGTTGAATAAAAACTGATAATGCTGTGAGCACAGAAAAGACATTTGTGGTTATTTCATTATAACTGTTATGTTATATTTGTCTGACCTACAAGTGCCTCTTTAATGTAAATGTAAGCAAGATGACTGAATGATCAAAAGCAATGTCAAACTGGCCAAAACACTCAATTTCAGTGGGGGTTGAATAATTTTGGTCACAACTGTATGTCTGTTTAGATCCGAACATAAAAAACTACACCTCCATTTTTGCCTTCTGAAGTGGCTCATACCGCGTAACATGTAGAGACTACAATATGGTTGGAGTGTGTGTTCCCTTGTATTATACTTGCCCCCAGATTGGGGTATTTGATATATATTTGTTGTTGCCGCCGAAGGGAATTGCTCTGATTGTACTGGCCGATTTGTATTTTTGATTTTATCTGACTGAAAAATTATATTTTGAAATACATTGTATGTGTCTTTGGGGGACAGAGAGAGTCCATACATGCTTTTTCTTCAGATTGTCAGGAAGCTCTGTATAATGCAATTTTAATATTTGCAACTACACGATATACTCATGGATAATGGTCACTGTTCTGTACCAAATGTCATAAGTATTTCTATATTCTTCTGCTGTGACAAAAAAAAAAAAAAAATGAGAAGACATGAAAACAATTGTGCTCATAATTAAGACAAGAGTTCGGCTTTTCTCCTGTGTGAACCCTCTGGTGTTGAGTAAGACTATACTTCTGTATGAAGCACTTACTGCATTCTGAACATTTAAATGGCTTCTCCTGTATGAATCCTCTGGTATCCATCCAGCAATACCTTCCATGAAAGGACAAGTTCCCATCTGGAATAAGAAAGTGTCTTGTGCGTGTATTTGTGCCGCACGCGGGGACTATTTTATCCATGTGTGCACAGGTTAATATGGAGGACGGGTATTCAGCAACTGTGGTAGTTGCAGCCTTGTCTGAAGAGGTCACTGAAAGAGCTGAAGTTGTTTCTCAGCCCTGCATTTGCCCAAACCACAGAACTTCCAAAAGAGGACATGCTTGGAAAGCATACAAGATACTGATATCCATCACATACTATGCCTGAAGGGAGAAGCAATTTGCACCACTACAGCCTCAGTGGATAAAATAAGACCCACCACTGGGTGCAACAATGTGGTTCCAGTGAGGGGGAGCCGGTTTGCTACCCTTTACATTTTGGGGCACGACTCCATCCAAAACAGCTTTGATGTCAGCCTGGTCCTCATGAGGATGCGATGGTGGATGCAGTAGCTATGCCCCATGAAGCCCTGTCTGCTGAGGTGGGGGAAGAGGCCTACAAAGCTGCCCCCTCAGCCACACCATTGCCAACCAAGGCATTTTTCACACTGCATATTTGGAAAGCCTCTGGGGCTTTGACATAGATACAGATTCTGCCTGAAGAGAGAAGTGAGAATGCATCTCTCTACAGCCTTACAAAAAAAAAAAAAAGGAAAAAATTCTTTGCCATGGCCATGTCGTTCCTTGCTACCATTTACATCTTGGGATAAAACTCCTTCCAGAGCACATCTGGCATTAATCAGTGACCCGACAGCTCACGGTGTCCATAAAGATCATTGATGCCATTCTTGACATTGTGCCATGTCATATCCACTTCCCGCAAACTACATGCAAGTGGAGGGACTTGAAGTTGGCATTTTACCAGAGTCTTCACTTCATAAATACGCTAGCAATTGGATTAGTAGAAGGAGCTCCGTATCTGGAGAAACAACCCTTTTGCTGACCATGTAGTGTTTTATGGCCAATACACAGACAATACAATCATTAAAAAATGGCTCTCCTTCAGGTTTCTTTGTAGAGTATTTTAAAGACAGTGAATTGGTCCTCTTTCACACATGTCCAGCTCCACGTCTTTGGTATTTTTAGATCCAAAGAAGGTTCTATTATCTCCAAAATTAGCTTCAAGCTTACACCCGGTAATTCATACCTGTACTATCATAGTTGCCTCTATCCAGCTTCGATAAAGAATGTTCCCAAAAGGCCAATTCACTAGATTCAGTAAAAACTGATTTGATATATGATTGCAATACACGCCATTTAAATCCCTTGTTTTCATTATAAATTATATTTATAATTTAATAACTGTTTCAATTCATATTTATTTTTTTCTTTAAGTCCTTCATAGGACTTAATCACCATTGCTGTGTGTGCCCCATTATACACCCCCATTCACCTCTTTTTTTCAATATATTGGTGATGGTTATTTTGATAGAAAGCTTGATTCTCAAGCTTCAAGTTGGGTATATATGGTTAAAAATAGGCTTGTGTCCCTCCCTCTCTATTTTATAAATTCATGTCTGTGTGTAAGGCGTCTTCTTGAATGTAATACTGGTCTCTGTCTATGCCAGTCATCAGTAAATTACTGGTTGAGATCTCACTATTGGTCAGCGAGTCTTATCTAGTATAAAAAAAGACTTCAAAAAAAAACATGGCTGCCAGCATCTGAAGAAGCCCAAGTGACTCGGTGGGTGAAACACGCTAAGTCACTTCCAGGTGATGGCGGTGCATGCGCAGTCCCCCGGACCGGCATTTTCAAACACTGTTTAACGCAAGTATCCACAGCACCTTACCTGATCCCATCAGCCGAGGAGTCGGGCCCAGCCGCTTTGCTGCACACTCTGCCTAGCTTCCATCCACTGTATACCGCTCTACTAAGCGGACTCAACGCTCTGATGCATACTCTGCAGAAGTCTATTGTATGTACCTAAAAACACAGCATTATATACACAACTTTACCAGCAGGACTAGGCTTCATACCTACCTGGGTAACATTTTATCTATGATGAACGAGCTACACCTGGAAACCACCACGAGTTATCAAAGAACTCAATGCAACCAGATCCATACCAGTTTGGTGGCAGGTTTGAAACCATCTTGTTATATCTGACCAAACCCTCTACATATGCTGGTTTATCTATAGGGTGGTGTTTAGCATGGATATACATTTATGATGTGACTGTTGAAAGGATACATACAGTACACTACATATATAGGCTGGAAACTGGGGGATCTGTGCCATCACTCTATGATCCATGAGTTGATCTCTTACTGAAATGTGTGTTGTGGTTGCCGGAGTGTTCCGCATTGGCTGTATGAAGCAAAGTACATGGCATTATAGCCATCAAATAGATTGCCATCATTTACTTTCTTTGGAACATTACCTTTACATCACACAGTGTGCAAATCAATCTTGGAAATCCAAATAAAGCCCGGTCACTATGGGACATACTAGGCTATACCTGGAGAAATATCTATACTCAGCCTCATATCATATATAGCTGTGAGGTGAGGACGTCCAGATAATTCATCTATATCTCAACATTGAATTTTGGCCATATGTCATTATATAATTACCATTAGCAAAATGTATCTGTATGTAACTCAGGTTACTGTTTATGACATCAGTATATGTAGCCTTATAGTTTATGTATGATCTAGATGCTCCTTTCATAGCTGTATCTGGCACTACTCTCTCCCATATTTATTGCATATGGTTAATCAACCTATTGGTGTTGGGACTATAGCATGCGCGGCGTCACCTGGACGACCATCACATTCTCTTCTATCTTTTCTTCCTGGTAATGGTGAGGTTTTCTTCCATCATGTTTTTTAATGTGCTTTGATTCATGTGTTTACTGAAATTAAAGATACATACAATATTCTTATAATCCGGAGCTTGACCTCTTTTTGGACCCGCTAGACCTAGGCACCTGACCGTCATTTTTTTCCTTTTTCTGTAAAAACTGTACCTTGGATGAAGGCCATTCCTCTCAGGGGCTTATTTTGAGAGGCAGGTGATTAGAAAAAGGCCTTTACCCCCATCTAATTCAACAGGTTTATGAAGAATAGGTCTTAAACACCCTAAGTTCCAAATCAGATCATTTGGATAGGTTTGACATATTCAACACCCGGTATTATTCACATTACAGGGAGAGGGTCCTCAAGTTTGAGAACTTGTATTATAACCATTTGAAGAATTCCAAAATAGTCAGTGACTTTCATTTGGTTAAAGTGGAGACAAGCCTCATCAAAGAGCCTTGTGGCACACCTGAGTACCTGGCCCCAGAGGTGGTCGCACTCCAGTGATAAGGTCGACCTGTGGACTGCTGGGCAATCAGTTATGTACATACTACTCTCTGGGAACCCTCCGTTCTACGATGAGATGGAGGAGGAAGATTCCGAAAGTCATGACAAGAACCTGTTCCGGAAGATTCTACATGGCGATTATAAAAGTTTGACTCTCCATATTGGGATATTTCTCTAGTAGCCAAAATATTTGGTGTCACGTCTGATAGAGGTGGACCAGGACCAGAGGGCGACAGCAGTGGACGCCATTAGCCATGAATGGATTTCAGGAAACGAGCTTCCGATAAAAAAAGGACAAAGTGCGTGCACATATTGAAAAAAAAATTTGCAAAAGCCAAAATGGAAGAAAAATTGTGGGGGTGACCACCACGATGAAGCACCTGAGGGCACCAGGACAGAGTCCAAGATGCCATCTCCATCCATGGACAGGGAGCAGACAAAAAGGCCTGGACTACCCCCGCACCATCACCTGCCAGCACCCCAGCTGAAGACATGCCATCCCCGCTCAGCCCCTCCCCTGACGGCAGCGGATGAGGACCAGCTTAACCGCCATAACCCTATTCGCCGCAGAGCATACCGTCATTAACCCTTCTTTCTCCACCACGACGGGCCTCTCTGCAATGATGTCAATAACATTTTCCTCCACCAGATACGGTTAGCAGCAGATAGAGCAGAGATGCCACTACCGGCCCACTAGAGAGAAATCGCAGCGCTGACCTCCAATCGCATCGCCTCATTAACCCTTCCACTGCTACGCTCAAGCATTTCTTGTTAACTCTTTAGTTGCTAGTGATATACTGCACTGTTAGAGCATTCCAATCACCCCCCCCCCCCCCCCTTCATTCTCCTTATAGCTGCTGGACTAAATGTACAGATCCATACCATGTCCATCCTAAAAAAACTTTGTCATAGCTCCATTCCACCTTTCTGCACCACCGCCGCTAAAGAGGACCTGTCATCACCAGCTAACGTTTTTCTGTGCTTCTAAAAACTACCTAAATATTTCCTGCAGAAACTTTATTCTAAAAAAAAGGGAGCTTTGGATAGTCTCTCTGGCTACCCACCAGTAACACCTCCTTCCTTTTCTAAGGTTAATTAATAAGTAGAGGTACCCCCTTACTAGTGAGTATATAGTTCCGCTTTAAAGCTGGGTAGCTTTCCTCTTTAACCCTGTATTTACCCCTGCCTGGGGCAGATGATTCAGGCTGGTTGACCCCTTTTTCTTTTTTTCTATCAAAGAACATAATGTACAGCCCTTTACGAGCGTGTTTTATGCTTTTGTCAATAAATGCTGCTTCTATCCAAAATAAAAAAACCAGCAGGATTGGTCCTGATTGCTGAGTAAGCGGAGACATCAGCCAATCAGGGGCAGAGCAGCATCGCACCACTTGGCCATTCATCCCGGCACCGACCCCATGACACTAAGGTGGGCAATGTTGTTTGGATGTGTGACGTTAGGTGACAAAAAGGATTACAATCAACCCACAGAAGTCAGCGACAAATATGACCTGGGCCAGCTCATCAAGACAGGAATTCTGTGACTTCTTCAGAGCCAAAAGACAAAATCAGGAAAAAACTACACCTGCAAATGTTTCCTGAAGAGAGATGGGCGCAAAGTCCAGAAGGCAGCCAAAAATGAGATCAACATCCTCAAAATGGTGAAGCACCCCAACATCCTG